TGCTCGAGACCTTCGCGTCCATGAAGGCCAGCAGGAGCGCGTCGCGCGACGAACCGCTGAGCCGCACGCTCGCCATGGACATGATGTTCCCGAAGAGTGAGAAGGATGACATGAACTCCAGCTTGTCCTTGCGAGGCTTTCCATCTGCAGCGCACATTTCATCAAGCCACGATCAATCCACTGCTGGATGGGGTTACCTGAACACGAGTAGTTCATTCCACCCAGTCATTCAAGTATCTCCAACAACCTGCACTGACCAGCGTGGCAAAGTACAGTTAAATATCTTCCTAAACATAATCTTTTACAGATTAATCATACAGGTACAAACAAACACAATAATTTCTTGCAGAGGGAATGAAACGGATAGGTTACAGTGCATAATTCAGAAGAGTTTACCTGTTGGCTTTTCTCCTTTTGATACAGACTGCAAAGAAATTAAACAACAATGTTAGTCGTCAGAATGCAATGACTTAAGTTACCATATGCTTGTTTTAGCGTGAAGACAGCTTGACTTTAAGACAAGAGAATGTAATTTTGCATGTTTGGTTTGTTTTATATATGTATCTTAAAAAATGCAATAAATGCATAAAAAAGATATAATAGGTAGCAAAAATCGGTATACACGCACTATGCACTGCCAGAAATAATTCTGACAGCACGTAGAAATTATGTCCCAAGTCATTTTAATCGTCAAACCAGACGAGCAATACACAAGCAATTTGTGTGAAAGTAATTATCCAAGTAAATTACGTCAATCAACGTTAACATAGAGCAAATCCACCTTTGTGCTGGGTAAAGTATGGGTTTCTCGTACTTTTTCCAAGCCATCTTGCCAGCGAAAAAGAGCTCTCCTCTACAGCACCCTGGAGTGGTAGCCCTTCTGCCAGCCGTGACTGGAGCAAGAAAGTTCAGGACTTCCCCTTATACCTTAAATCGTTTAATAGTTAAAAAAAGAAGTTTAGTTTATGATATGCTGACAAGGTTCAATTTCCGGACATGCCAGCCTTGGTCCAATCCCCAGGTGTGCCTGACAACCTGCCGTGCCAATTATTCGTGAACGAACGAAACACACATACTCTTTGGTTCTTTTGGTAAAGTCATGTAGGTGAAAAATAAAAAATATTTCTTGCCGTGGTTTTCACACCTGATGATGATTGCTTGTGTTGCAATCGAAACGTCGTGATTTAATTTATTTTATTTTTTTATTTTTCACCGACGTGACTTTACCGAAAGAACCAAAGAGTATGGATCCTTGCGGTCACGAAAACTTCAAATCTAGAATGAACGAAACACAGCGGAGGCTACCTCGGTGTCATGGATGAGGCGGTAGATCTGCAGCTGAGAGCCACCGGCCACCACCAGGTTACGTTCTTGGCTCGAGAAGAAGTGGCAATAGACGGCGTGCTCCAGCCCTGTGGGCGGGTGCACCTTCCTGTGCACAGAGTACATGGCGGGGCCTGCAGCAGCCAAGAACCTGCAACGCACAACACACGCCGCACAGCTTCAGAGGCATCACAATACCGACCCACTTGTGTGATTCATATATGTCGTTGCCCATGATGCACCACAGCAGCCTATATATATACGGTATTACCCGACTCTGCTGTATGTATGTTGAACTTCTTTCGCACCGTACGTATGCAACCATGCTAATCAAGCTGGTCTAAACCATTGGAACCTCATTTGCCAGTATCAAAATATGATAATTGTTTTTTTACCCTTTTATCTGGCAATAAAACTGACACCTTTTTTACAAGGAGTCATGTTTGCATTGACCACCATACCTGCAGTCGGAATGCAAACAAAAAACACAACTCTGATAATGTATGCACTGTCCTTGAAGTTGATTGGTCCACACACGAGACAGCTTTCCTTAGAGCCTAGTCTCACATGGTGTTGGACCAGATGACGCCAAAAGTGACGCCTTTTATCAAGCTGGTCTAAAGTTTACTTGCTTGAACACATACTGCTGGGCTCATGATTAAAGCATAACATAGAACGGAGGTAATGTTTATGTCTCCCACTCATGAAACGGATCTACTCGGACCAAATCAAACAAGCCCCACGACTGCGTGGGGAAGGGGCCTCATCCAGCAGTGGAACGACAAATAGGACCCCCATGTACACTCCATCATAAGCATCAGCGAGTTATCGAGCCATCGGCAGCATTGCTCTATCCACTGCTGAATGGAGACCTCCCAGAGCCGCCTCCATCTCTCACGCTACCCGTCTAGAAAACCTGCTTGCACACGAGTCGATGATCTCATCGCTCCATCTCCGCAGTGTATACCCTCCCGGGCGTCTTAAAAAGCACATTATAATCAAGACAACCGCGCTCAATACTCTGGCAGTGCCGTATACACCGCATCACAAGACGCGCTCGCCTCTCTCTCCCCGACTACGTTTTAGGGCAAAAGTTGCGAGTGCGTCTTGTAACACCGTCGCGGCTGCGTACGATCGTATTCGTACGAGCGTGCCGACATGGGTAAAGGGTTTACGGGGTGCTTCTAACTCGAGTGGAGCGCCTTTTAATCGGGCAAATCGCTCGCGGGCGAATGAAGCGAGAGAGGCCTAAACAAGTCGAGCGGAGCTGGTGCACAGAAACTAATGGGGGGGTTGTCGGGATCAATTCGAAACGTCGCAAATCCGCTCACGCGAGCAATCCGAAGCCCGTTGCCTCACCTTATCAATCAGCCTTGTTTTCAATGAGTTGTTGTTGTTCCCTTGTACGTAGAAGAAAGTTTACAACGCACGCAATCACCATTCAATCAGTCGCTACATGCGGCATCGCTGCTGTGCACTGGGGGATGCACGCGCAGCGCGTGACGTCACGCCTCAACAACTTTATCGACAGCACTGAGGCGGCCTCATCCCATGGCCCGCGAAGTGACGTCACCCCCCCCCCTCACTAACTTTATTGATGGCTGTGAAAATATTTTAAACAAGTAATATTTAAAATACTTTAAAACACGCTTTAATAAAATGTACCCTAATCGTAATAGCAGAACTCCACGACTCCAAGAAGTGGCCCCGAGGCTTGCCATAACGTAAGGGGCCGTGGTGATTTACAGCCAACGTGAGTTGAGCGTTGACAATTAGACCCAAGCCGAAACATAACATATAAAATGAATTTTTAAAAATACTGTTTTTTATTTTTTTGATAGAAAATAGTATTGTCATCAGTATGACATAATTATACCAAGTTTGCAGTCGATACCACATTGGGAAGTGGGTTAAAATTGAGTTACAATATTTGAGGATACGACAACAACAGTGAGCTAAATAAAAGCGTGTAAAATAATAATATAAAATAATGCAGGTGGTAGAATAGGCGACGTTTCGGGCAAAGGACTCCTGTAAAAACGGTGAGGCAGGATTTTTGTTTTACATAATTTAATTCGTATCAGACCTCCATGGCACTAAAGTGGTGTTTCCAACTTTTTTTTTATCCACTCCACCTTCCTGGCTTCTCACATGTGCTGTGAAGAAGGCGGCATTGCCCGAAACGTCGCCTGTTATATATTTTTTTTTAAGCCATCGCAGTGTTAATGGCCAATGCGTCGAGTCTTAACGGTAGAGGCGTGACGTCATGTCACTTGAATGACAGCGCCTGGGAAACAAGAATAACAGTTTTCAGTTTCATGTATTAGGTATAGCCCTGTGAGCCATTCGGCTATTGGATCGGGTGCAACCGCAACAAACAAAAAACATGAACAAGAAAACATCTTAAAGTGACTAAGTGACTATGTGCAAACAGAAAAATCCAGGAAAAAACTGCAAAGTCTTCCAGAAAAAAAGCACCAACGCTGTGCAAAAATCCCAGTGGGATGCAAGTCAAACAACAACAACCACAAGACAACTTAGATTAAAGCCATCATTCTAACTCCGTACTACAACAAACATGGCCAAACCAAATAGCGTTTTCGAAATCACCAAAATAAAGCCATAAGCAATGTAACAGAATCCGAAGTGAGATTTGATTTCCCACCGAGAAGTTATTTTTCAAGGGCGAGAGGTGGTGACATCATAAAGATCTGAACGTGACGATAACACCTTGATCTTGTTCATAAACATACCTGTCAACCCCTTATCAGTGCCCTACCTTATTACAGACCAATTCAGACCTTACTGGTCACCCCGTTCCTTTCTAAATCTCAACGTTCATCCTACAAAGTCCCATCACAAGGGAGAAACACAAACAAATAGACACAAAAAAATGTGTTGCCCGTATTGAAACGGATGTACGCTGTATGGACACCTGAAAACTCTATTTCCCTGTACAAGAATACGGGTAAAACGTATGGGTTGACATCGTTCCGTGTCAATCACACTGTGGCTTCAAAGGGAAAATATACATAACATCTGACGTTTCGGGCAATGGCTCTTCTTCATAGCATACATGCCACCCACACCCTCGTGTGTCGTGTCGGCCTTCATTTGTGCTCGCTAACAGCACTTGCACCCACAGTCTGTGAAGGCTCTCCGAGGGGGTCTTAGTCTCTATCTCCAGGTCTGTCTCTTCTTCTCTGCTTATCCTCGCGTCTACGTTCTCTGGCTCTGTCCTCGCTGTGTTGTGTGTGCACACTCTCTCGTGTGTTCTGTCCTGTCACAAACTAAAGCCTCACACACCGAGTCTCACCCTGCCCGCTGCTTCTAAACAGCCTGGTTGACCTGGTTACAGATGCCCTAACTTACAACCAAGAACCCCTGGACACCTTTCATTATTATTGCTACATTAAGCTCGTCGACCCAGGAAAGCCTCACCGAGTCTCAATAATCCTTTTCAGGAGGGTCCTGAAAAATATCCTGAGTATACGGGGCGATCTTGCTACGTGTAATCCCAACTGAGACATCTGCAGGAAAAGTTTACGCATTAGAATGTGTGGCCAATATCAATTACATTGTATTTTTTTTTGTCAATCGGAGGAAACCAGAGAAACCTGACGAACCCCATGCAGGATAGGGGAAGAAGGAACAAAGTCAACACAGACAGGCGCCCGCGTAAGAAAGACATTTTATTTGTAAATGACCATGTGAATTGCGCCTATAATTCGTACATTGACAGTCCTGTAGTTCTATCTGGCTGCGAGAGATATACAATTACGTTACGTCCTGGCTGCGAGATAGCTATATAATTGCTCACTTGACAATGAAGGCTCATGGCCAAAACTGTGAATTAAAATGATGTATGATACTTATTACAGCAACGTGGTGAAGTAATTAATTTTAATGACTACAAAGAACAATCGCTCTCTGATTTGTTTTCTGTTTGTACCGCTTAATGTACCCCGTGATACCCGATATTTGGCTCCGCGTGCTGCGATTTTAGGTTTGATTTATTTCAGCAGCAAGGGCTCACGCTGCTAGGAGGCTCTAATTCACGGGCGTCCTGTGAATGAACTTGGAGGCATCCAAGACGCTCCTAGCACATGGGAGAGCGAAGATCTGACACCATGTCGAACAAACTGTGATACAACCAGAAATCATCTCAGAGATAAGGAACTGCCATGTCATACCATGAACAACACATTTAAAATACAATGCTTGAAATTCGTGAATGTCAGCTTTTACTTGCAGCCAAGACGCATTTTAGTAACGGTTAATAACACCTGCGGAAAGCTAATGAAGTTAAAGTTTTAAATTGGCAGACTATGTTCATGCTACGCAAGATAAAAGGCGTATACGGATGCAGTGGCATAGATGCTGTAGTTCTCAAACGAAGCCGAGGCCCAGCCATCTCTTTCAATGTCCCACAGCCCTTGGCTTACAATCTGCAAAAAAAAAAACAAGCGTTGATAAGCAAAGTCACGTTAATATAATTTTATTTTGTCATTTTCCCACAGACCTATCCCAATGATTAGTGTCAGCGAACAACCTACGAATGTGGATATCACAGAACTAAATATGGGATCCCTCAATGTGATATTTTGATCCATACCAGGCGAAAACAAGCCTTTCCCACCCACTCTGCATATGAGAGGAATGGTTGGCGCACGGCAGTTAGGGTTAGTCCATACAGTAGAAAACATGACTTTTTTAATTCTAGATTTGAAGCTTTCGTGATTGCAAGGATTCATATTCTTAGGTTTTTTCGGTAAAGTCACGTAGGTAAAACGTCAAAATTAATAAAAATAAATAAAATAAAACAAAAATCACGACGTTTCGGAGGCAACACAAGTCTCCGTCATCAGGTGGGACCGTCACAGCCGGATTAGAATATGACTTTTCTACCCATTCTGCATATGAGAGTAATGCTTGGTGCACAACAGTAAAACCAATATTTTATTCTCCGACCTGGAAAGTATCCAAATTAAGTGAAGAATACAATTTTACGTGACTGTTTTTTTTTTGGAGTCATTGGTGACCTGGCTGAAACCACCAACTAAGTAACTATACCTAAGACGTCGGTTCTAATCACAGGCTGGTCTCTGGATTCAAACCCAGAATCTCCAAGGTGGCCTGACAAGCCCTCTGACCTCTAAGTTGCCTCAACAGTCATATTGATGATTTAAACAATGAAAGCAAAGATTACAGTATTACATTTTAAATAAAAAACGGTGTAATTTTCCTCTTTAAATGTTATCTAGTATGTATAATACTGTTCAGTACCAGCAGTGACGACCAATTATTTTTGCATAAAAGTAAAACATTTCAAGAGAATAAGACGGTCATAAATAATTATGTTAGGCCTACAGCGATATCACATTTTAAAAATATAATTTTCATTTTTGTACTCGAATTAAATTGACTCGTAAAATCAAGTTCCATTACTGATATTTCTGGATGAGTCATATGCATTTCTAGGATGATTCATCTTTCCAAAATTCCCAGTTTTATTACAGTTCAAGTACTCGGATTTATCTTAACAAAACATATACGTGAAATTGTAGCTTTACGAGTATGTTTAGCTCTCCTATGTGTATTCGGGTTTTACCGCGTGTTGTTCAATATGGTGTCCGACGTTTCTCTCCATGGTCTGGGAGTTTCTTCAGGAACTGATTTGAGGATCTTTCCATTGTCGATTCTTGCCGCTGGCGAATCAGTGAGCTGCTCAATTTTGTTCCTCTGAAGGAGCTCTCAGCACGTGGTGAGAAACGTCGGACACCGTACTGAACAGTATTTGGTACATCATGGGACCTCCTTTGCCAGTACCAAAATATGAGAATAGGTTTTCCCCTTTTTTCTGGAAACAAAACAGGTGTTGCCAGAAAAAAAGGGGAAAACCTATTCCCTGTATTTGGTACAACCCCAAAACCCCATCGGAGAGCCGCATAGCAAATATGCAAAAACCTAAACCTACACGGTACAGCAGTATTAGTGGTACCGTGTGTTACGTATTCACTGTGATCCTAGGACGTTCACATGAAGGTCAACATTGAAAGAATGAGCATCTGAAAAATGCATCACTCGTTGATTTAGAAATGTTATATTTCTTAACGTTCAGCTCATTCATCATTCACTTATTAAAAAACGAGGGTCCTTACCAGAACATCGTGTTTTTTCTTCTCGCCAATAAACATATTGACAATGAACTTGTAGCGGTCAAACTCAAACTGTTTCACCATCGCCAAGATGTCATCCGTCAGTGTCACAGTGAGGGAGCGACACACCTCTGAATCATACTCTACGTGAGCCAACTTATTCTGAAACAGAGTGGATCATATGCCAATTTGTTAAAGCACACACGACCGTATATTAACACAATCGATGGCAACCGTGAGCAGTGCCAAAGCAAAGGCTGAACAGCTGCAGTATATTCATGTCAACCAGTTACTTATGAGTCACATGATGTAACCCATGCCACCGCTCTCAAGCCTTACCATTCCCCGTTTGTTTTCCCAGACTCTTTAAAGAATCGTGAGGTGTGATTGTGTTCAAATATTGTACACGGTGAAACTCATTTTAATCGTTGGCCTGGCCCAATACGAGAATATTCCCATAACCTGCAGGGTTATTCTTTCTGTTATCCAAAATTTATCTACAAGGCAAGGACATTCGCCTCGCTGAAAAATGGCAACCTATAAGTATTGCAGCAACCTCATCCTCGTATCTTAGCTCATGAGGATGATGACAGCCAATCAAATTCTTATTTTTTTTGAACCCACAATTTTCATACAGTCCTCTAAACAATCCATAAGAAGTTTTTTGGGTTAGATCTCGGAAATATAAATGTATCGTTAACCCCACCACCACCCGACACAGCCAATTCGTAAGGTTTGTCACGTAAACAAAACATGCCAATTAGTTACTAGTACAGCACACCGGTGTGTTGGAGAGTAAACCCGCAACATTTACAATCTGAGTACGAAGTTTCGCTGGTGCAGCAACCAGCTTCATCAGGCGACAGCCAGAAATGTGACACGGACACTGTAACCACTTTCAATAAACCACCGCTATGCATTTTTTTCGATGTAAAGCTTTCGTGACTGCAGGGATTCATCTTCTTGGATCTTTCGGTAAAATCACGTAGAAGGGAAGTAATAAAATAATAAAAATAAACATAATAAAATAATTCTCACGACGTTTCTTTCCGACAGACCTGTTCTTCACCTGAGGACGGCTGCTTGCATTGTGGCCGAAACGTCGTGAGAATGATTTTATTGTTTTATTTTAATTATTTTATTATTTCCCTTCTACGTGACTTTACCGAAAGAACCAATAAGATGCACCGCTATGCAATTCGCAACGATCCCTGTCACATACACACACAGCCCCCCACTCATCTCTCACACACACACACCGTCAGGATGCTATCGATTCTACTTGTGACGGGGTCTTCTCTGAAACGCCGGAAAGATTCCAGCTGATAGCTGGCGGTGGGTTCCACGATTGTCGGAGTCACGGCACATTCGGCTTTCTTGGTCACTTTGCGTTTCACCGCCGCTGCGTCCGCGTGACCCGTCTCCTCGCTCTGCTTGTTCGCCTTGAAATGCACACGTGTTAAAAGGGGGAAAAAATAGGCAAGAGAGTCCGTGTGCTACACAATGCAATTTGTATTGATAAAGAACCAGTAAGAGACATCTGATCAGAAACATGGAACAGCAGATACGTGTGCCAAAAAGTAAACATTTACACGGAGACAAGAAGAGCAACACATTGATTCGAGCCCGTAGGCTAGAGACATCAAATCGACTGTTAATTAAGCGGGTGGCTGTCCCAATGGGCTTGCAGCACCAGCGGACGAATTGATGAAATCAATCAGTTCGTGTGCTGGAGCTCGACTGATGGTTGCATCGTAGAGGAATGAGTCGGCCAGTAGCGGGTGGGCCATGTTCTTAGGTTTTTTCGGTAAAGTCACGTAGGTAAAAAATTTAAATTAATAAAAGTAAAATAAAACAAATTTATTAATTTAATTTTTTTACCTACGTGACTTTACCGAAAAAACCTAAGAATATGAATCCTTGCAGTCACGAAAGCTTCAAATCTAGGGTGGGCCATGTTTTGCTGCGTGTAATCCCAATTGAATCCTGTAATGGTATTGAACTCGTCGTGGCCGGCATTGGAACTCCCATGCGAGGGGTTCAAAGCGCAACGAGCTAACCGCTGCACCACCGCTCCTCGCGAAATGTTTAGAAACTATTTAAAACTGTACGGTACCTTGCAATGTGCAAAATAAAACACGGCACGGTACAGTAATAGCCATTCAATGCTGCGTTGTATTTCATCAGACATAATACAGTACTGTTATAAACACGTAATGCAATACTACATTACTGAAAATGTATTTATAGTATCCGAACAATACTGTTATAAAGACGGCATTCATAATATAAGTTTTTTGGGGAGTTAGATCGCGTAAATGTGTCGTTAAACCCGCCACCACCCTACGCAGCCAATTAGTAAAGTTTGTAACGTAACCAACACATGTCAATTTGTTAGAAGTCCAGCACTGCCAGTGTGTTGAAGAGTAAATACACAGTTACAATCTTGAGGGCGACGGGTTTAACGACACTTTATATACACACGCGATCTAACCCAAAACACCTTTATTATGGATTAGCAATCGCGAAAGCCTACGTGTTAAAAAGACGTCATTATAAATGTGTCTTCGTCGCGTTCCACTTGAAACACACGCATCAATAATAACAACAACAGTATCATGTCCATGCCCCTTTTACCTGGTTAGACGCCCTTTGTTTTCCAGCTGGGTCTTTCACGTTGACGCGTCTCGACGCCTTTAAAGAAGTGGCCATGGGGCTTGCTTCCAATCGCTTTATCCTTTAAGTCAAGCTCACGAAATTAAAAGCTGCCGCTTATTAATAAACACCGTGCAAGAATGTCTGCACCTGTATTTAATACGATTGGCTGCCGTTTATTATTAAACACCGTGCAAGAATGTCCGGCACCTGTGTTTAATACGATTGCTCAACGCGGCAATGATCGGTGGTGTTATTTGTACACAATCTGTTGGGTTGTGGGTTTTTTTTGTGGTTGGCTAAATTAAAAAATCATTCGTAGGCAATTCTACCTGGTGCTGTTTGTTTCACACCTGATGACGGATGCTTGTGTTGCGATCGAAACGTCGTGATCTATTGATTTTCTACCTACGTGACTTTACCGAAAGAATCAATGAGTATGGTATTACTGCAGCTACGAAAGCTTCAAATCAACATCAAATAAAAGCGCCTCAACTGTGTGGCAAAATAAACTTCTAACGGTTTTAAAACGAATATTTTTCCACAACAGTCGTCACCGTTAAACTTCCACCGTATAACACATTAGCCGAGCATTATATTTATATAGATAACAACAATACTAGGGTATTATAATGGACTACAGTGGGCAGTGCGGGTTACCCACACTCTACCCCACCACACGCATTGCCCTGCTAATCCCCCCCCCCGTGCTGCTACCCATTCGATTTGAGGGCCGTCCATAAATGACGTCACGCGATTTTGGACGATTTTGACCCCCCCCCCCTCGTCACACGGTGTCACAAAAAGTCAGACCCCCTCCCCCCCCAAAAAAACCTAAAACATGCTTCAAATCGCTTTAAACTATTGTCATTGTAGTGCGTATTTAATGTGGCGCTGCACTCTGTTGTAGGAGAAAACATTTAAACGTCTATTTAATTAAGTAGAACGTGTTGTCTATATTTATTTAAAGTTGCGCATTTTGATGTGACGTCACATTTCTCACCCCCCCCCCCCTTCGTCACACATCGTCACAAATATCTAACCCCCCCCCCTAAGGGTCGTGACGTCATTTATGGACGGCCCCTTGACACTGCTGGGTGGAGAGACCGGAGCCGCGTGCGTGTGTAGGTCACGTACAGCAGTCACGTCGACTGCCGCGCCCCTGGAGATCGAATCAAACCGGCGTTGCAAGTCCAGCGCGGAGACTACACCACGGCATCGGCAGCAGTATTCCAGACAGGACGCGAGAGTCACTCTATAGTACTGCAGTAGAGGATAGGCTAACAGATCCAATGCCGTAGCCATGGAGTCATTGGGGGGGACCAAATCTTCCAGGGGGTCTGGGGGTCCCTCCCATAAAAAAAAAATCTAAATTTGAAAACTCATTTCCTGCCTAAAATATAAAAAAATTTCACTTAACACATAGGATGGACTGTTTCTTTATTTCTTACAATAATGTCTAGTAGTGTATTGTATTACATTGCTCTTTTTATTTATTTTACCTTTTCTTGTTAAATTGTATGTAATGGCAGATATGGATTAATAAAGTACAACCATAACCACAATCATATAAATAGAAATCTATTTTATAGCAATATATTGGGGGGGGGGGACATTTTGAGCATATTTTAATATATTGGGGGGGGGGGGGGGGTGTCCCCCCCCCAATATATTATAATTACGGCCTTGAACAGATCCCATTGTACAGTACTCTACTATGCCCCCCCGTCTATTTGCTCACTTGCCTTCTACCCGCACTGGTCAGCGTGGTGAGGCAGCGTGTCCAAGTAAACCACCCGCACAAAAGTGGATTGACAAAAGGGCATTGTTGGCACGTACAATTAAAACGGGATTTAACTTGACATTACACGCGGGATGAATTGCTTAATTGTGAACAATGTTAACGCATAACTCGTTACTCCAGGCAGGTGGATTTAACATTGTAAGTCGTGGTTTTATTAAAGTACGGATTTTAGTAGTGTAGTTAAAAAATGGTATCTTTCTTGCCATTGCCCAGCAGGGGCCGCATTTCCCCGCTTGATGCAGAGGTTTGCTGTTCGCGGCCAGGGGTCCATCCCTAGTTAATACTGCCGGTGTATTGACCAATCACGACGTTGCTGTGTGCTTCAGTGCAACGTCCTATGGACGTTATTCAACAAGGAGTAGGCGATGTGTGCCGGCGTCAAGGGCCAATTTTGACTGATTTCATAATACACTCCAAAATTTCGATGTAAAGCTTTCGTGACTGCAGGGATTCATCTTCTTGGTTCTTTCGGTAGTCACGTAAAAGGGACGCTGTCTCCCCGACAGACCTGGTCTTCACCTGAGGACGGCTGCTTGCGTTGTGGCCGAAACGTCGTGAGAATTATTTTATGTTTTATTTTTATTTTATTATTTCCCTTCTACGTGACTTTACCGAAAGAACCAAGAAGACACTCCAAAATTGTTGTAGTTTATTGGGAAGCCACGCGAGAACATCACCCCACACTGGTAGGCAGAATGCGCACTCGCTGACCAGTGCTGCTTTCCCCTCACAGAGACAGCTGCCACTGGGTGTCCCCTGCCACAGGGCACCACGTGGTCTACGGTACAGCATGGGAGGTGTAGTGTCAATACGAAATGATGATACAACACACCGGCCGACATTTGTTGGAAACCCATTTCACTAACGTGGCATTGTTTTCCACTTATGCACCATACAAGGTTTTATGTTAAGAAAAAAAATCTTCCCTGTGGCATTTGAGTGGAGACCACTTATACCACCAGAATACGCGTGTTGTATTGGGCAGTCATCGGTGACACGCGCCTGATGGTTTTCACTTGACCTGCATTAATCGCGTGTTGCATGAGGGCCACCCCATGCCGTGCAGGTCATGGGGGTTATGTAAGCATACTTCACGCTGGTCAGTACGGGTTGGTGAAGGTGGGAAGGATAGATATGGGAACATAGACATACAGTATTACAATATATTTTTAAGCATTTCTCTCTTCTGCCCACCATGTAGCCCCGCAGCAGCCTTTAATAACCTGTTGTACATATGGAAGTCACCCTTCCAAACAATATCCAGGTTCCACTGTGCAAAGCTTCAGATATCTGATGAAATCAATCAATTTTGATGATACAAACAAACTTCATCACCAAATTGAATCACCAATAACACGTTTACACTTTTCCCGCTACTGAGATGAACTGAGAACTCTACGACACAACGGTCGGTCTAACCACCTCACGTTCGTCACAACTCAGCTTTGAACCTTCGCCTAAGACTCGTTTGAAGGTATCACTGGCCCTAGTAATGATCCCTGTGTCTCTGGCCCAAGGCGAGGTCTTTCGCCTGACCATGGCCTATACGCCTGGAAGCCAGGTGCTGATCACGGGGCATCCATGGTGTGTCCCGGGAAAGATGCCGCGAGAGGCGCTCTTCCTGCTGGCGCCGCTGATGGTCCTGTTGGCCCTGCTGATGGTCCTGTTGGCCCTGCTGGTGCTTCTGCTTGTACCGCTCCCACGGACGCTGCCAGGAAACGTCAGCCTCCTCCGTTTGGATTTTTCCGTCGAATCCCGTTGTGGCAAGTCGGTTCACCTTGTCCCGTAATTTCAGCCGAGAGGTGAGTCTCTCCAGTGAGGAAGCCCTAGCCTGAGAACGATAAATACAGATTTGTCTGTGCTGCGATATCACAGATCCAAGCATCACATATCTGCCTTGAAGGGTTGCCACCTCTCCTAGTGTTCCCATGAACATCCTCTTTTTTGAAGTGGCTGTACTGGTAACATGAATCAATTAAGTTCCTGGTTTTAGTCAGTTGCTGAATAATACACCACTCAAGACAATACATTTACATTTAGATCTCCCCTCTCCCAGTATTGTGAGATAATCCTATTACCGTGACATGTCACACCTCTGATTAGCACGGTTGGCTATGCACGGTGCGAAAGAGGTTCAACATTACATACATGTCCTGCCTTTTCATGCCTCCCAGGTGACAACTCTACTGACATGATGACTAGCTATTAATCGTGCATGGTGTAAACTGTCATTTTATACATTCGTATATACCCAACCTAACATTAATTATATGGAAGAACGTTAAGCACTTGACGATAATGGGAACCAGCAGTGTCTCACCACCACTGCAAAAACCCGCTACTTAACAGCCTCCACCCCGTACTTCAGATCCACTCTTGAGCTTCCTTGAGCGTTTCGCTCCATGCCCGTGGGTCTCGGTGTGCCTTGTGAAACCTTGTCCCATCCTGGGAGAGCGGCAAGCCAGTCGAGCGTTATGGTCTGACTCGCTGTCTTGCGAGTTTGAGGAGAGATACGCTTTCATCCTGGACGTAGCGCTAAGAGGCCTGAACTTGCTGCGTTCCTGTAGGAACACCTGTCAAACAGAATCAAGAAAGCGATTAGGACTCAGCCCGCCAGCCCCGTTGGGGGGAGGGCTGGAGAGGGCTGAGAGGGCCCCCCCCCCCTCCACACTTATGGCTCTACCACTCACACCACACTTCAGATTACCACGGTTGGCTATGTATGGTGCAAAAGAAGTTCATCATATATACCCTCCCCCATCCCCCGCCGTCTAAATTCTTATTGTCACGTCAAACAATATTGATACAATATTTAACACCAGTGGCGACTTTTCTTCAAAATCCATCAGTATCCCATAACCAAATAGTGTCCAGGGTCTCCTCATACAAACAGAGTGAGAACTAGAAAGCGCGATAGAAGACGCGGGCAGATCGTAGCATTACTAATTATGTTTAGCATTGAGCATTTGGTTAGCAGTTTAACTTTTACCATGTTGTGTACCCCCCCCCACAATCGGGTTGCATCATGGGTTGCTGCTTCTCAGTCCTCTCTAAGAACTTAAAACAGACCAGCGCCTCACTGCTACTGATGCTGCCCTTGGTTCCCGCAATCACAGTACAGTTGACTCTCGATTATCCGCGGATTGACTACGTGCAAACTGGTTCAATTATATTATTAAAAGATAAAGGTGCAGCCCTGCAATTGCTTGCTCACGCTACTGCTAGCGGAAGGGTCTCCACTAGAGGGAGTCCTAGAGAGCCCCTCTGGAGGGTACTTTTGGCCTCCTCTTCCACACTTGCCAAATGTCTTGGAAGAGGTGGGAATACCACACTTTGCCCCACCACACGCAGTCCGCCGATCGACTGTGGTGTACACAATTATACTGCTCGATGGCCAGAGTCGGGGGTATATGATAAACTTTCCCTATTCTAGATTTTTTAAAATATATATATTTCCCTATTGTTTCAACCGCCATGCCGGGAGGTCAAACCAATGACCTCTGGATTGCAAGTCCAGTGTGCTGACCATTACCCCACTATGGCAGCATCCCTCAAATAAACAATAAATGCGTTTTCAAGCCTATTTTCCATACGATTTGCATTATCCGCGTTATAGTTTTATCCAGACCATCCGCCTCGACCCGCTTTATTTTTACGGATAATCAAGAGTTGACTGTGATGCTTACCTCGGATAAACTGCCCAGTTTTTGGTTTAAGCTCTGAGCTGAAACGATGTTGTCCTCCGACTCGCTACGCTGCAGGGTTGCACGGAGACATCCCTTCCTTCCCATGCTGGTTGTACGGTTCAGTCGCATCGGTTCCTCCAGCGAGGTCTGAAAATGTAACCAAGCACACCAGACAAACAGGAGCTATTCCATGTACTGTACAGTATAAACATAACTCTTGTCCCGTGCCTCCACATACAAATACAACGTTTGTAGTCATTGGCCTACTGGCATTCCAGACCAATATTAAGCAGCAGCATTTGTTTAACAAGCTTGACTCTGATGAGGAGACCCAGAAAAGTTGATACCAGTCCTAGAGTTTGCCTGCTTAAATAAATGCTGCCGGATAATGTTGGTCTGGAAAGCTGATAGGCTGACGTACTGACACATCTTGCACGTGCAGACACAGAAGGGAATTCTGCTTACATGTGTTATTGACAATAATGCGTTATCTACGGCTGTCTTGACTTGGCTGCAATTCCCCCACCGCCACTGCTGCTGTGTCCCCTGCTCGCATCTCGCACCTTGGGCGGTAACACGGCCGGGTGCGAGGATTTTCAGCGCTCGTTGCAGAGGTTCACAGTTCGAATCCAGCGGCTACTATTGGTTGTTGCTATTGCGAGTGCGCTAACCATAGAAAACACACGCTGTCTGCTGCACAGTGGAAGTTAATGATGCCGTGATGCCATTCGTGAGGGCAGGCGATTGTGTGCAAATTATAAAAAGTACCTGTAAAAAATTTCAATTTGGATTATACATAGCAATCATCGCCCCCGACTAAAAGAAATACTGGAGTGGACTCTCCTGAAAACGAGTCTTGAGACTCAGAGAGGCTTTTCCTAGGAAAACAATCATAGTAAAAGTGATAACCTCAGATCTGATGTCAAATTTCTTGCTTGAGCAGCCGTGACGCTCATCTCGTCTGCTCGAACTTCTGCCTCTCCTGGGGGAGCAGCGATCTGGTGAGCTGTCTCTGTGCGGCCCGCTGTCGTGCAAGGTTGAACAGCGATTGCCCTTCGACCCTTTCGGCCCAAAAGAGACAGGACCATGGGGCCTGAAGTGCAGGAATTGATCTGGGGATGTCTGTAAATGTAATTAACCAAGCATGTAAATTAGTCGACCTCATAGTAAAATTTTTAATCATCCTAAAGACACATATAGGGTGGCATATTAAAGGTACTGATCGATAGTTTTAGAAAATATGGCTTACGTATGTAATGCATCAGTGGTTTAACAGATACAAGAAAATACATTGCACCATCGCCACCCCAGAGTTCATCTGAATACGCCCGACACCACAGCGAATATCAAGAAAAGTGGACAAAGTCCCAATTTGTTGATACACTATGCACGAGCGAATAGACACTTCGTGATGAGCTCTCGTGATCACACACACCCTCAAAGTGTCTGCAATGTGCATCCTAAATCGTGTAACTGTCCACAAGGCATTGGATTAAGGATCACGCTTGGGGTCCATTTCAACTGTCAAATAACTTTTGTGCACCATCTATGTTATTGTCTTTACCAATAAGCACCCAACCTACTTGCAATATATCTCGGCAAAATGTGCACGTACTTTGCTCCGACAGGCATCTAGGTATCTTAATTTGAGGAATCAAGCGCTTGCAGATGAGTGAATGAAACTAAATGTTTTCATGAACGGATGGGCTGTGGTTGAACAGAGTCGTGCATAGAGCGGGGGAGTGGATAATCAAGGAGGGAGGTGAATGAAAGCATAAAAAATAAGTGAATAAATGCATTGCACGTTCAGTAACGAAGAGCTTTCTTTTACTCCTGACTGATCACTGTCATTATTAAGAGGATAATTGTGGATATAGTTGATTCTGGATTATCCGTCCGTAGGCAGATTATCCAGGTTGCAGATCAACCCATACTTATCTGCTCCTCACACATCGAGGGTCAGTGACTCAGTGCTGACGTGACCGCAGATATGTTGGCAATTAAACCAATTACTGAAACAAAAACTATTTTTTCATCTGGGACCACCCTCCCAACCCAATACCCAGGATAATCACGAGATGACTGTATATGTGTGTTGAGTGCATTGAAATGCAGAGATAAAGCTCATGGAAGCAAGAGCTATGACGTTTCCACTGCGTTGACTACCTCTCTCGCGTTCCAGGTGAACCTGCCCTCTAGTTCAGGGTCCCATCGTGCAGGAGAGTTGTCCTCACCCCCCAGGGAGTACGGTGACTTCAACGACCTCTCCTCCAGGGGCGAGTCGGCCCCTGCGATGCCTCTGCTGCGGCGGCGGTGCTCGCTACGCGTTGAGCCTTTTCCATAAACGTCGCTGAACGATGATAGGCTGGACGAGTCCGCAGAAGCGGAGGGATCTCCGCCACTGCAATCATCATCAAATTGATGTTGATGACATTGGTAGTGGTGGCGGCGGTGGCGATCACGATGTAGGTCACGGTCATCACCCTGGTGTTGCCGGCGTCCTGCATTGGCGACACTCTCGCTCCGCCGCTCAAAGTACCTCTTCATCTTGCCGACGTTGTCGAAGGAGTCCATCGTCTCGCGCAGTCTCTCCAGCGACTGCGACCGGGCAATGGACGGCGACACATCCCTCACCGCGAAGGAGCTGCTGCGGCTGATCAACGGTGCGAGCTGCACCTCCTCGTAGAGATTCTCGTCGACATCCTGGCATGCCGATTTGCCGAACGTCTCTGCGCACGTTCGCTCTTGCACATTCATGCTCGTCGAAGACGCCGCACGCTCGTGTCTGCTGACGCGACGCGAACGGCGCAGGAACGAGTCGAGCGCCTGGTGCACGCTGGAAGCGAGAGAGGTGCGCACCACACTGCCTGCCGGCGGCGGAGGTAACCCTCCCCTCTCGGACGCAATCCCCGCGCTGGACTTTCCGCTGTGAGTGAAACCTGAGTGGTGGCGGCCATCCGAGGGCGTCGAAGAGTCTCGGCGTGTCGGCGATGGCCAACAGACTTGAGGATTGGTGGAGTGGTGGGGCTTGGTAGACCGAGGCCTCATTGGCACTCGTGGTCCTGCGTAGCTGCACCGCGAGATCAACCTTGGTGGACGATTGAGTTGAGAGTCTGAAAATACAGCACTGAGAGTTCATGGAAATGCAGGACAATGAGTAATGAAAAGTAGAAAACTTTTTGCTGAGCCTCAATCCAGCAACTTGTACTGCCCAGGAGCCACGATTTGGCAACCAATGCCATAGATCCATAGATTACTGTGATCACAACGAGCCTTCACTGGACCCTACTCGGTTAAATTCCGCGAAAGATATCCCCGCCCTACGCACTGTGAAACCTGACTTCCCATTTCTCTTCCTATGTTGAACTTCTTTTTTTGCACCTTGCCAGTCTGACATGCAGAGCAACAACTGCAATGTCACAATCAGGTGGTCAGCCGAGGCAACGGTGCCAGAAGCAGCGGAGTGTATCGCTGTAAATATCTCCTTCGTATCTGTGGATCGGGCATTGCGTCGTTATCGGTCTTGTTCTGGATGACTAGTCGCACACTGGGGAGTTTTTAATTTCCATTTCGTGCATCAACAGGGTATCCGCATCTGCTGCCACTGTTTGTGCAGTGGATGCGGTTTAGGGTGGACCGTGAGCTTCGTGGAAGATCAAAACTCTGGGATCTCTAAAAGGTGGATCAATAAAAATAGGAACGGGACTCCTGGTACCTCATTCCTCTTTTCCACTCGAACCAAACCGTGCCGGGGCTGTGCTAAGCCTATTTGGCCCTCAAGAAGGAAATGTTATCCATCCTTGCTTATCTTTAGGGGCGCCATGATGGCTAGGAGATGTTAACGACCTCTCCTGCAATGCAGCTGGTCGTGGGGTTCGATCCCGACCCTGGCGCCTGCTGCTATATATTTGGAGTTTGTGTCTCTCTCTCTCATCATCATCACGGTGGCTAGGAGATGTTAACGACCTCGCCTGGTATACAGGAGGTCGTGGGGTTCGATTCCGACCCTGATGCCTGCTGCTGTATATGTGGAGTTTGTGTCTCTCTCATCATCACGGTGTATAGATGTTAAATACCTCGCCTGATATACAGGAGGTCGTGGCTTCGATCCCTACCCTGGCGCCTGCTGCTGTATATGTGGAGTTTGCGTGTCTCTCTCTCCCCGTGGTCGCGTGGATTTGTCTCCGCGTCCTCCGATTTTCCCCGCCACATTTAGAAACATTCGTCAAAGTGTATTAGGCTGCTAGAAATGTCCACGTGATGAAAAGCCACTCCTTTGAGCTACTATCGTTAGTAATTGCCAGCTCGCTTCTGATGAAAAGCACTACACAGGTCTCAGTTGGGGCCTTACCTGGTAGAATAACAAGTTTAGTTTGAGTCTATCTTGTCTGCCTACTGCTCTCATAGTCCGGCTCCTACACATTTCCTAGCACCGTCCAAATGACTGGATCACGATCTTTGTTTTTTTTTTACACACTTGTGCAAAATCGCTGTGTCGTGAAATGAGAATATCTTCCAATGTAAATGTTGTGGCTTGGCTCTCCAACACACCGGTTAGTGCTGTACTAGTATACTACACTATACACTACACTACTATACACTACACTATACACTAGTGCTGTACTAGTATACTACACTATACACTACACACTAGTGCTGTACTAGTATACTACACTATACACTACACACTAGTGCTGTACTAGTGACGAATTGGCCACGTTCTGTTTACGTGACAACCCTCACTAGTTGGCCGTGTCGGGTGGGTTTTAACGACACATTTATAGATTTACGCGATCTAACCCCAAACAAAACCTCTATTATGGATGATATTGGCCGCGAAAAGCCTCCTACTTATTACGTGTTAAACTGAGAAGATCTTATCGTGAGATTTCGATGTCGCTCACCAGCCTCATGCGCCACCGCTCGTGATGTCTGCAGTACTGTACTCGGCAAAGAAATGTTAGAAGTCAATGAATATTGCGTTGCGTATTTAGCATTCAGAGAGTTGTCATCTTGTAGCAGTTTTAATTAAATTAACCAAATTACGGTTTAATGGGCTGTGAACATTACTAATTAACCATATAAAAATAACTATTGTAACACAATGTATTCATGTATTAGGAATACAATATAAATACCGTTAATGAACCGCTAACATTGGTTTATTTTCATATTCATTTATCTTTTAAATGAACCCCACTTAAAATATGTAAAGTTTTAGAGCATTAAACGGAGGTCGCAAGACATCTGGACCACACTGCGCCGACTATTTTAATTTATTTTGAGCGTCTTCTTCTTTGAGGGCGCAACTCGTGGCGTCTCTAAAGGACCCAAACAAAACGCAGCTCGGCTCCTTGTCGACGTGACAATGAAGTTTGCGTGTCCAACTTGAGAGAAAAAACAAACAAAGATTTGCCGGCTGGAGTCATGCCCGCACTCCTGGCTTGATGCGCTCGCTTCTCGGCCAAGTGCGCATGCGCGACTCGTGACGTCGCCGCGTTTGTGTGCGTAATGACGTCATACGGCGCCCTCCCCCCCCGCCGCGTGATGACGTCATACACATGCCACTGGCGTTCTGACGTCATACCCCCCCCCCCATCTTTCCATCCCGTGGCATTGACAAATAGAGTACATCTTTAAATTTCAATTTAAAGCTTTCGTGACTGCAGGGATTCATTTTATTGGTTCTTTCGGTAAGGTCACGTAGAAGGGAAATAATACAAAAATAATTTTTTTTACATAATTGTATTTTAATGTTTTAGTTTAATTAATTTATTATTTCCCTTCTACAGTACGTGACTTTACCGAAAGAACCAAGAAGATAAATACATCTTTAATATTTTAGAGCGACAAATATATGGAGGCGTTACGTATCCGTTGACGATGGTCACATTATCAACGATGCTAACGATTATTTTGCGTTATCAACAGAAGTATAGCTCAATCTTAAGGTTGCCAGTTAAATTCCTGGTTGGGGGTTGACTCAGCACATCATCCCTCCGGGGTCGATAAAATCGGTACCACATTGTGCGGGGGAAGTCATCAGTGGTTGACAGATCAGAAGATGTATATTTATACTGAAGGAATCCGATGAGCTGTAAAGCTCTTTTTTTACAGATGTCCAGTAAGGGCGGGGTTAGAACGTTACAACAAACAGTATAAACACATTCCTGCGGAGGGAGCTGGTAGGAACGTTGGGTTGCTCGGTCAATGGCCAGGGTCAACGGCGGCGTGGTGTATTCCGCAAATATGCCCGACTGTGAGGGCGGGCACAAGCCGGCGTGAGTAGGTTAAACGTTGAGTTTTATAAGGGCACCACGGGGTGACCAGCCCCTCCCCACCCAGCCCCACCCCCCACCCAGCCCCACCCTCCCCTCCGCACCCAGCCCCACCCTCCACACCCAGCCCCTCCCCACCCATCCCCTCCCTCCCCAACCAGCCCCTCCCTCCACACTCAGCCCCTCCCCACCCTCCCCACCCAGCCCCTTCTCACCCTCCCCTCCCCACCCAACCCTCCCTGCACGACTGACACAACAATCCCTGTGGGTTGGTGTAACCAGGAGGTTCCTACCAGTATAAATTTACATTTACTGTAATCTTGCTTATGCTCCAAAGAATTAAAGCAGGGTAATATTTGAGCTTCGGGATTTGTTTGACAGTACATGTATTACGGTCCATAAGGCGAGTCGAGCCGTGTGGTGCAGAGGTTCACACACTGCTATAAACCCAATAACCCCATTTGGGATTCTCTGCCACGGTTAGGGGCCATCCATTTAGTAGGTTCGCAAAAAGCTGTCAAAACTTGAGGCCCCCCCCCCCACCTGCGTACGTACGCCTAACGCACCCCCTGAATCCTATAAAACGGCCGATATTTAATCCACGCAAAAACGATCAAGGATTAATAATATGAACGTGTTTAAGAAAACAGATAGTCCACCGCCGGACTATCTAACTCATTTGAAGGCCAATGTCGACAAATTATCGACATCGACACAGGGGGAGACAAAGGCGGCCGGGAGTGCTGTTGGCCCAACCTGCCCACTCTCGTTACGTGCGGTCCTTCATAGGTGCTCGCTAACAGAGGCTGCCCCAATCTAAAGGTGAAGCATGGGATCTGTTTCCGTAGTGTGTTGGAAGGTGGAGTATGGTCTTCAGAACAAAACAATATAAAACAAATCCTATGACCGACATGGTGTGCAGGGCTTCAGCAGTGGACTGGCAATGGGATGTACAATTTTAAAATTACAGACATAATTTACGCGACAAATTTGCAATTTTGGAAAGCTTTTAATAGACAAAGAAACCCCCACCAAAAATAACAAAAATAGTGAGGTGATTAAAGAATATTCCACTTACCTCAAATCCAGTCCCAAAAATAACGGAAAGATGGGAATTAAAGCATTGTATAAAAGGCGTTTAATCTCTTTTTACCATCAATACCAACTAATTATGAACAAACGCGGTTTACGTGAAAATACGTTTCTCGTCGTCCAAGCCTTTGGGGAGGGGGGGGGGGGGTTGAAGCAGACTGGGCCTGGCTTACGAAGGCTGTCATCTTTTCCACTGCACAACCGAGCTTGCATCGAGGCTGTGCTGCCACATCAGCACTGCGTGGGCTCAGGAGGCCCCAGGTCGTTTTTCCACTGCAGGCGACCCGTGCCAGCCGACGTTCATAGATGGCACCGAGACGCCGCGTGCCCTCGCAGCGTACGTGGGCTAACGTCGCGCGCGACGAAACGAGTCATCCCGTGCCTCCGATTAACACGGTTGGATTACGTACGGTGCGCCAAAGACGTTCCACATACGTGCATACGGCATCCCCGCCGCCTGTGGCCAGCTTTGGTCCTGAAACAGATTTGGATGTTTGGTGAAGCCATCAGCGTATCGTGGAATGGTACCGGCGCGGTTCGGCAAAAAGAGACAGTGGAAAACCAACTGGTGCCGTGACATGGTTTGGATACACGGGTAGAGATGGTGTATGTGTTTCCGCAAATATATTTTTACCTGTATTCCTGCGTCAGTGCTTCAAATGTAAACCTTTATTACAGTAATGGACCCGGAATTGAAAATCCACCATGGAACTTGTTCGATCCCTTAGGCTACTCTTGACCCAGTGTCCAAATGTTTTCTATGTTTGAATACACTTGCCACTATAATCATCATTGTCGTTGTCCACAATCCATCCACTGCTGGATGAAGGCCTCTCCCATACTGTCGCTGTCCCTCGAGGCCCTGGAATGCCACTCGTCTGCATTCTGTGCAGGAGCCGGTGCCACTGTTCCATCTCTGTGCTGGTCGTGCACTCGGGACGTACAGTATTCCCTCGTTATTTGCGACGGATACATTCTGGAGGTGGTCATGAATATAAAATTTAGTGGTTAATATTGGCCGACGATAACCTATAGTTTTTTCAAACATGAATTACCGTCTGAGAAGTTCTCTGTCTCTCTCTCATCACTTTCTCTCTCTCTCGATGTAGTCGTGTAGAGTTCCAAACGCGATTCGCGGATAACCACAGTTGCGGATAGCAAGTTCGTGAATAACGAGGGAATACGATTCGCGCCAATTGCCTACACCACAATGACCTCGTTGTGGGGGAAGCGGTAGCAGTGGTTAGTGCACTGCACTTTGAACTCCATCGTGTCCCATCTCTGTGAGTCTGGCTGCCTGAGTTCAATTCCCAGCCGCAGTGGCCAATGTCGGTGGCGAGTGAAATCCGAACTGGCCCCGGCTCCCTCGCTAATAAACGCACTGACCAGCGTAGTGAAGTATGGTCAAACAACCCCCGTGACCCGACACGGTGGGGAGAGTAGTTGATCTAGCGGTGGACTGAGAAAGATCTGCAAATGACTGATTGTTAATCTTATTTTGACACTGCGTTGTTGAGGCAAATGTTTATGGAGTGCTGCGTCGCAACGCCAGATTGTAATTTTCCTTTAGTCAGCATTGACAAATGAATTATTCACAAGCACGAAACATTAATAAAAAATAAGCATACAGTATGCAGTGAATGTTGACAAGTTTAAACTAACGAGACACTAATTAACCACACTACAGGACTGTCATCAACATCCATCATCATCAGGGCCTTAATTTCAGCTGGAACTGTCCGTGGCTCAGCTCCAGAAAATATATTTCCTTGTCTCTCCTCCTCTGCTTTTGTGGTGGGAAGGAGGGGCCTGGAAAATATTCCATGAGAAATTAAACTCGCATCATCATCATTATCATCATCGTCTACATCATCATCGTGATCATCATAATCATACTTGGGCAGTCATCGCCATCACTTTCTGCCACCGATGGCCATGAGAATGTACAGGAAGATCTTCACCACGTCCAGGTACAAGCAGAGTGCTGCATAGATGTACTCCTCCGGACTCAGTTTGTACTGCTTGTTCCCAATGATCAGTTGCACATCCACCGCCAGAAACTACACACAAAGGTCAACAGGACACACAAAAGACAAAGATCCACCAGTTATCATTCTAACGGACTGTCAGGGGAAGTGCTGTTCACGAGTTGCCATACCCTGGCTTGCTATGCCATTTCTTTAAAAGGCACCTTTTTAAAGCCCTCTGTACATAAAATGATCCTCCATTACAACGCTAATTCCATGCAATTAAAATTGCACTTGGGTTGATCTGCAACCATACATTTAGTCACAAATTATTCATCTATCAGCTGTCAAAGATAGGCTGAACAGGTACGTTTTCTTTACTTTTGATGGTCAGGCAGTCCCTTATCTGACTAGGTATGGAATTCCACGTGACAGGAGCCAAGCATGGTCCCTGGAACGTTGGCAACGCATGCCGCGTGGAACCCACGAGGTTACTAAAATCGCCAACCTTGGAGCAACTTCGTTTGGACAATCCGTAAGCTCTCACCAAGGAGAAGACCATGGCTCCCAAGGAGCCCCAGACGACGAACATGATTTCATTGCGGTAGACGATGGCCAGCATTGCGGCGAAGAAGACGCATGTCCCCAAGGGCAGCATCAGCCAGATGCAGCAGGTGAAGTCATACTTTGTCTGAAAATGCAAGAGACAAAGAAATGTAGTTTCAGAAAAATCACAAGCGTCATTTGACAGCTGATATTTAATTCAAAAGTGAGGTTTTCTGCTCAAACAATTGCGGGGGCAATTGTTATCAAGTTACAGCAGAGGCAGGCGAGCGACCTACGGATTCTGTCACACAGCTCATGGCCACGCGAGGCTTGCCACTTTGAAAACAGCCCCACAAACGATGCTTATAATCGGTCACAGCAAGCTATCAGTCACGCTGATTGGCTACCAGAGGGGGAACAGTGGCAACACTGTTTCTAATTTTAGCATGCTGTGTGTTACGGTCAAAACTGGCTTCTGGAATAACCTAGGAAGACAAAATATATATATACAGGTTTCCATCGCTTTATGCGGTAGTAGTAGATGCATTCCATGAAAATGGTGCACAAAGCGAAACCGCACGAGGAGACAGGTTTCTGCAGAGTAGCATTTCACACACAGTACACACACAGTACACACACAGTACATACAGAGAATGAATTCAAACCGCACATGAAAGCGAATTCTGGGTATAAATCGGTTAGCTGCATTTAACAGCATGAAATTGCACAAACCTAACCCGCGTAGAGCGAGGGAAACCTGTATTGGAATAGCCAATTATTCTATTCGCCGATTCTGGAGCAAGGCTCTGCAACGTGTCCTTTGCCCGTGGCTTTAGTCCAATGAGCAGCATCACACACGGGGTATTCAAGCGTGGCTATGAAGTCGTCAGATGCAACAGGATGTTGTTAAGGCAAACACAAAAACATGACAGGCGGGCGGCGGTGAGATGCTCATTGAATCCATCCACAGTGGCCGTTCAATGTCTCTCCACCTTTGGGAAGAAGTCGGCAAACGTGCACTTCGCCATCAGCCCAGCATCCTTCATGATAGTAATAATGATAATAACGGTAACATGTTAACCCAGGGAAGCCACATGGGAGGGTCTTGCATTGGGATTTTTGGCCAACACCCGTGGATAATTTATTCTTTCATCCTAAAGGGATGGTGGGCTGAGTCGACACTCTTATGCGTGTAAATGTGCCCTTGTACTCCCAAAACAAACATGTGCTTAACCCTATATCTGAGGGGGGGGGGGGATCTTGAACAACAGGTGTCACTTTTCAGCCTAAATAGCTGCAGTAGAGAATGAGGCAATGATAGATTGGCAGATTACGTTTTTATTCTTTTTAATTCCGCTTCTTTGCCCAGGTAAACTTCGCCGCCGAGTCTCAAGATTTATTTTAAGGAGCTTCCTGCCACGTTTTTTGCAGTAGGGAGGGAGGGATGTTGCCGCTGTGTGTCATCCCAGTTGAGCGACTTGCAGGTACTCATTTCTCAGCATTGGGATGGTTTAATCCAATAACGGTTACATTGTATGGATTTCGTTTTTTTTTGCTCTGGGAGGAAGCCAAAGGGCCCAAAGAGAAATAAAACAACCCATGGCAGGAACATGGGAATAACACACAAAAGCAGACAGAACCCAGGACCCTTCTTGCTGGAGGCACGAGTGTCATACCACCGCGCCCCAAATTCAATACGCGAACGGCCGGTTCCGAAAGCGTGACCCACCCAGGATATTTGAAAGTCAAATTCGTTTCTCAGTGCCGGAAAGGTTCCCCCCACCCTAACGGCCGAGACCCAACCGGTTCAGCGTGTTGTTTGAGATGTATATACTTACAAAATTCAAACACGTTACGACTAGCTAATCTTACGCACTACAGCCTCCGACCCATTACTCCCTCTAACCACCATCATTTGCCTATTGGCCGTGGGGGACTTGAGTCGTGTTGCCCAACATGAAAACAATGTACGCCACTTGGCGTCCTCCAGTCTAACACCGTTTGAGACGAGGCTCAAAAGAAAGCTGTCTCTGGTGTGGACCAATCAGTTTCAAGGACAATGCATACATTATCAGAGTGTGTTTTTTCTTTGCATTCTGACCACAAGCATTGTGGTTAATGCAGACATGATTCCTTGTAAGAAGGTTTCAGCTTTGTTGCCAGAAAAAAAGGGGAAACACCTATTCTTATGAAAACAGTGGTTGCGCCGGGTTGTCTCGGTGCGGTCCGTCTTTCAGGACGGACCAGACACTTGGGCCATTCCTGGAACCTCAGTGGGCTGGCTCGGTTCACTTTTCAAAAGTGCGTGGGGGGGGGGAGTAACCGTGACATATGACCTCACTGGTTAAGGCGGGAAAAAAGATATAATACAAACATATACTCGGTGGGAATGCTTGCTGCGTGCTACTTTTAGCCCCTCCTCAGTTATAACACCCACCGCCGCCCCATGGGCGATCCCACATTTGACTGTCTCACCTTAATCCAAGGTTAGTAAACACTCGTGTTATTGTTATATCTTTTTTTTTTTTGTAATGAGCTCCTAGCACAGATAAGCGTGCGGGGTGCACTCTTAAATGGGGGAAATTTGTAAACCCAGAAAGTTCTGGCGAGCGTGTGTCCTGAAGGTGAACCATTGTCCGGGGCAAATGGAACGACGGGGCCCTGCCGTCTTTGTCCCTCTGCTATTGTGCCCGCACCTTAAGTTAGCGTCACTGAACAAACGGGGTCAAGGTGCAGATGCCGCGGAGATAAAATCCAAATCGGGCTGTCGGGCGCGATGGCCAAATTTTGTCCTTGATATAGAGCGACTGTGCTGGGTCATTGGTGGATCATTCTGAAAGCACGATCATTAAAGTCAGGCGGTGGTGGTGGCGGCTACGCTGCTGGTCGTGGCGTTGCCTGTGATCTAGCGCTGTGGAGGCAGCAGCTAGCGTTGGTGGATCACCGCACACGCAGATGTTGTCAACTTCCTGTGGGTGGGCGTTGAGGAAGGCGCCATACCCCGAGCTCGTGAGAAGACGGTAGTACAGCGAGTGGATTAATCGCCATCCGTGTATGGAGATGAAGCGTTGCTCCCTCGCACACATGTGTTTTCTCCGGGTGCTCCGGTTTCCTCCCCCCCAACCACAAATGTGTAAAAACAACTCACAAACTGGCTGAAAACGTCTTCAAATAAAAATGCCAATGTAGCAGCGGCAGGACCCTCCTGAAAATGAGTCATCGGACTCAAGCGTAGCTTTCCTGGATAAATATGCGATTGTTATTGTTGTTACGTTGATGCAAGACACCCACTTTCCGGGCAACGAGTGCATAATGGCAAGTCGGTTGCAGACCGACTGATGTCCAGTTTCCTCATCTCATATAGGTGGGATTTCATCGACATTGTCCAAAATAGGCATCATGTCATGCGATGAAGTATCCATTCAGATCTCTCGCACAGCAGTGCAACCCTCTCCTGTAACTGCCCCCACTGCCGGCGCTCTCTATGTAACTCTATTATCTCTGCGCAACTCTATGGATCTCTATGTAACTCTATGAATGTCAGTTTAACACATAGGCTTTCGCGACCAATATCATCCATAGGACAGGTTTTTTGGGTTAGATCGCATAAATATATAAATGTGTTGTTAAACCCGCCACCATCCCACACAGCCAATCACATCTACCCCTCTATTTAAAGAAATAAACAGGATGATTTCTCCACAAATCTGTCTGACGCCTGATGAAGCTAGTTGTAATTACTGGCGAAACGTCGTACTGATTGTAAATGTTGTGGCTTTGCTCTCCAACACACCGGTGTGGTGTACTAGTAACGAATTGGCAAAAAACCTCTTATCTATGAATCTCCACGTAGCTCCATAGATCTCTTTGTAACTCTACGAATCTGCATGTAGCTCTATAGATATCTGCGTAACTCTACGGATCTCTCAATAACTCCATGTTACTGCGATGTCCTGCAACTGCCAACACTGCCGAAAGCCTTCGGCTGTGGTCGTCAACGTAAATAAAAAGCTCAACTTAATGGGCCTCACCAGGTGAAATAATAAAGTCCGATGTCTGAAACGTAAGTAGCAATTAAATTAATTATAGATGTCGACTGTGGCGGCAGTGTCAGATTTGCTCCATTCTTGTAACAATACCCCTCTGGGCATTGCTGCCGAATTAATTCGTTGTGCTACACGGTGGCTTGGCAAGGGACTTGCACACTGTGGCAGGGTGCCCAGCGCGTCACGGTGCGTTCACGGTCATAGCGAAAGACTCGCACCAAGACCACTTCCAGAAACATTTACAGCCGGGCGGTGGCTTTGCGCACCGCCCGTCATCCGGCCCTGTGAGCGCGAGGGTTGGCGGATCGCTGCACACACGTTGAGCGTGCTCGAAGGGTGGGTCCCGTAAACTTGGGCCGACTTATCACAATGCCCAAGTTCACCTATGGAGAAGATATATTTTATAAAGAGTCCATGCGAGGCTCCCGATTAGCTCGGAGGCTCAACTCATAATCGAAAGGTTCCGAGTTCAATACCTAGAAGGGGATTGGTCCCAGGACTTGGCTCACCAGGCATCGGCCTGCACTGACCTTGACTAGACAGCTCACAGCCTTGAATCCAAGAATCTTTTTTTACAACCGATACATTTTGATACATTTAAAGGTAAAGGAGCCACCCTGAAATGTCTCACTCACACCACTGCTGGTGGAAGGGCCTCCACTAGAGGGAGCTCTATATCTGGACATATGTTGAACTTCTTTCGCACGGTACGTAGCCAACCGCGCTAATCGGAGGTGCGGGGGGAATGACAATAAAACTAAATACTAAAATCTAAACATACAGAGTGCCCTTTTGAGTCTGCAGGGTATTTGGCCTGTTCCTACATGCTGGTAAATACCTTGGTAGCAGTGGGAGTCGCCCACACTTTATACCCCCCCACCACCACCACACGCAAGCTGCCAATCAACTAACTGTGGTGTATCCACTGCCATGTGAACAGCGGGCAACACCGTAGGGGTGTGCGACTATGGTCATCCAGAACAGACCGTGCAACGTGTAGCGACGCAATGCCGAGATCCACAAATAGGAAGGAGACGTCACGGCGATGATACAGTCGCCCCTCCTGACGCGGTCATCTCGCTTGACCACCTGAAATGTGACGCAATTGTAGTTGTTGCTCTGCATCTACAACAGCCATGACAAAAGAAGAAGGTAGACAAGAGGGCAATTGGAATGGAATCAACTTTGCCCTCGTCGTTGCAGATACCGCTTTGGGAGTTCGAACCCAGTGACCTGGATTGCGCTCCAGCGCGCCAACCGCCACAACACCGAGGCAGCAACCCGTAATCGCATCTCGGAAAAATGTCTATTGCGAGGACGCTGCAAGCTGTGACGAGATGCCGGGGGACACGGCGAACGGCAATGACCACGCACGCGGTCGCTTACCTGCATGGAGAAGAGGACGATGACGAAACAGACCGCCAGGGTGATGCCCGCAGCCGTGAACACGGACCTGGTGGTGTAGCGACTGGCGATGGTGCCCACCATGTAAGACACCGCCAAGGTGATGATGCCCTGGGAGGGGCAATATGGATTTAGAATTTGCACGTACAGGGTGGGTGGGTAGGCACGGGTGGGTCGGTGGTAGCAGGTGGGTGGGTGGGCTGGGTGGACTGGGGTAGGTGCGTGGGTGGGTAGGCGCGAGTGGTTGAAGGTGGGCACGTAGCTGGATGGAAATGCATTGTAATGGAGAGAGAACTCACAATCCATTGCTACTACTTTATACTTTCAATTTGACAGCTTGGGTCTTGTTCTATTTAACTGCAATGTGCGCAGCTTCCTTCATACGGATTTCATAGGCAACTCACCCACGCAACTCACCCAGGCATCTACCGCAGCCCCAACCTTTACGAACCGAGTAATATCAGTCCACTCTACGGTGCCGGAAGCAAAACCCCTATGAGAATTCTGTAATTTGCAAACCGCACAAAGTATATCAAAAGTACCATCTTAACACACGGCTTATGTGAACCCCCGGAGATAACATTCACACATTTTATTTTTTACACCATATGCATTTTGAGATAAAGCGGTGAGAAAGTGGAGGAATTTTCACACGCCGTGGTATGTGTTATGTTCATGACCCTGTGTTTTTACAGATTTGCCCGTTGGTTGTACAAATGATGTGAACGGTGTCATTTTACGGAGGGCATCAATGACTCTCAGGACCTTTTTTCAGGAGGGTCCTGCCTTGCAGATGTTTGCTCAATTCTCTTGAGAGTTTTGTTTCATGCAGGAGGAAAGGGAACAGCACTCTAGGATATGAACAGATGCATTCATGAACCCATACATTGTACCGCCATTACATACCTGCCTACCTCACAGCCCTTCATCATCAGCCGCCACGTATGGTGGGGTAAAGTGTGAGTACTCTCTGGTGAAATAGTTATTCCGAGCTCCCTGTAGTGGTGAAGGCCCTTCCGCTGGCAGTGGTGTGAACAAGACATTGCACGGATGCACCTTTAGCTTTTACTGTGAGGAGTACAGTCAGGACCTCATGGTGGAGCGGACATCGTGGTTTTAATAATTTACAAACTCAAGAGCTTAAACATGGGCGAAAGTTGTCTTGTCATGCGTCTATGGGCGAATTTCAGATAGAAACCTTAAACATTTCGGTTATTCAAATTTTCAAGATCGTTTTTAGCACTTCCGGTCAACGAAGAACGGTCGAACCAAAACACCCCTCGAGTTCGTTCTCGCAGACGCCTCAAACGCCAGCGGTGGCGTGACCGGGCGGTCGCGGGGCCTCCCGGCCTTCAGAACATCGTTGTATTCGCTGCTGCTAGCGACTGCTAGCTCACCAGAGTGATGATGTTGCAGGGGAAGGTGCGCCTCAAATCGCCACAGCAGATGAGCGCCACGGCGCTGACAACATAGATCACGAAGGAGGCGTAGTAGAGCAGGGGGTGGTGCTGCACGAAGTGCATCACCGGCTGCACGAAGGTGAACACGGCCACCACCATCAGGGTCACCAGCATTTGCGCCGTGAGCACCAGGAAGACCTGGTGTGGGGTGGCGGGAGAGGGAGAGGCGTCGATCAGGTGTAACAGTGGTGATGGCGGTGGTCGTAGTAGTGGCAATGGAGGTGCTGGAGGAGATGATGGTGATGGCGGTGATAATCTGATGATGGTGGTGGTGGTGATGATAGTGGTGGTGGTAGTGAATAAAATGATGGTGGTGGTTGTGTAAAAAATTATGATGACAATGGCAATAATAGTGAAAGGAGTGAATATGGTGATTGTGGTGGTGGTGGCAGCGACGATGGTGGTGGTAGCAGAGGAAGTAAAAATGACGACGATAACGACGATGGTGATAGTGGTGAAGAATACGATGGCGAGGACGCAAGAGTTCCGAAAGTATCCTCTGCCTCACGATGACACGACCACGACACCACCATGATGAGAGCACAACTGGAATATGAAACCGTGACCAAAAACAAATCTTCAAAAATAAACAAAGACAGTTTCTTCTTCCTGGTCACCCCCGCTATCACACCCCATGACACATCAGAAAGGGTCAGAGACTCCTCTCCTACCTTCCTGATGAAGGCCTTCCGTACGGCCTTCTCCCACGAGGACACCGCCAACATCTCGGGAGCCGCTTCGTAGTCGGGAGGGGGGTCTTCGCATTGCACAACTGTCAAACACATTCACGCAAGAAGGAAAAAAAACGCCCCGTGTTGATGGCAATGCTGCTTGCAATCGTCAGCGTACCAGATTGTCACACGCTGCGGGTTTTTCTCCCGAAGGCACAATTCGGTGGTGCTGAAGTCGTAATAAGTTGGTACTTTCCGGTCACGTGATTGAAAACTAATTTCTTTGGAACTGCTTTTTGTGTTCAGTTTGTTGTCCTTCCCCCGCACCTCCAATTAGCATGGTTGGCTACGTACAGTTGCGAAATAAGTTCAACATATATACATATAAAAACCGTACTAATTGGCTGTGGGAGAAAACCGGAGAAGCCAGAGAAAAGTCACGTGTGCGAGAGGGCAACACTCCATCCCATACAGATGGGAGAGGCGGCGATCCACATTTACCGCATCGGCGGACCAGGGTGCGGGCGCCGGCTTGACACTCACGGGGAGTTTCGCAATGTCTGCGCGGGTGATCCACCAACCTCGCGCCTCCACAGGCGCTGGGTTACAGGGCGTGCGCCACCACCGCCCAACTACCGCTACTGATGCTGATGATGACAACAATGATAACACTGGTCAACAAAAACAAAACATATTTTTCTGGCCTGTGATTGCAGGAACCAAGGGCAGCAGCAGTAGCAGTGAGGCAGTGATCGGTGTTTTAAGTTCTTAGAGAGGACTGAGAAGCAGCAACCCTTGATGCAACCCGATTGTGGGGGGCACACAACATGGTAAAAGTTAAACCGCTAACCAAATGCTCAATGCTAAACATAACACTGGTCAACAAAAAAAAAGCATTTTTTCTGGCCTGGACTTTTGCAGCTGTTTTAGACTAATTTCAGGGTGCTGATTCCAATTCTGATCTCAGATTTGCTCTATCACATCTCATTTAATGCTATCGGCATACCCCATGTTCATTGATTTTACCCGAAATTAACTCTGTCACTTATGATTGCAAGTTGTTGCAAGTCAGTGACTGCTTTAGTGTTAAAATATGGTGCTGTATTTTTAGGATAGTGTGTTTATAATATCATTTTATGTAGATATCCACATTTATTTAATATTTTTCTACTGCAGTTTTTATTGAAAATGCAATATTTGATATCTCAAAAACCTGATGTGATGGACACAAACTGATGCCAGATTTGGAATCAGCACCCCATAATTACCTTAAAACCGTTGGAATACCTTATGCCACAAAAAGTGTGTTGACCAGTGGAATGGGGGGGGGGGGGTCTTTTTTGTTGTTGTAAACTCACCTTCTTGAATGATCGGCCACGGGTACGCCGGTGGCCCCATAGGCGCGGTGGGGCCAGAGCCCCGCAAGTCCTCCCCCTCCTCGCCCTGGGGTGGCCGTTCGGGTTTGCCGGCTGGCTGCGGGACGCCGGGAGGCAGCAGTCCTATATTGCAGGGGGTCTTGGGGTACAAGATCCCCACCACGTAGGTCCCCGGCGGAGCAGACTCGACGGTGCCGAACTCCCGAGGGCCGGCGTAAGGCAGGAATTCACCGGGAGGGCAGTCCTGCTTGAAGAGGGAGCCTCGTTGCTCGTCGGCTGAGGTTGCAGACATTCCGGATCGTTGGGGCTGAAACTCAGGTGGGCTTCGATGGTGACTCAAGGAGAGGTGGGCGACTTGGGGAAACGGTGGGGTATCTGTGTTGGGTTCATACTCCTCCAGCAGCAGCTCTAACTTATCGCCTTTAGACATCGTGCCAATCCTGAAATATAAAGCAGCAGAGGTAAGGAGGAAGTAAAACTTTTCCTGTGTGGGTGCATTTGTTTGCGTTGGTGGTACATGTGTTTGTGTTTGTGGGCAGGTACAAACCCAGAGTTCGATTCCCACCTCACGGCCAACACCAGTGATGATTATCAGTAACTGGGCCTCCCCTTAGGTCGACTCGGCCTCAAATTAGTATCTGGTGCAGTGTAGATATCGCTAACAGCACAGCAATACGGGGGGGGGGGTGGGGGGGGGGATGATCTTTGTCTTTGTCTGTGCTGACGAATATCTTTGTATGCGTTTTATTTCCCGTATTTCATTGAGAAATGGTCTAAAAAATGTCGAAACACCAATGCTCAAAAATTCCGACTTCACGCAATTCAATCCTTCAGTTAAATTATTGATTGAACTGTACCTGTTGTTGGTGTCCCTGGGAAAGGTGTATCGGGTTCACAGGCTTTTCTTCAAGCTGCGGGGGGGGGTGGTCACATGGGAAGGGCGGGGGGGATACAGGAATGGCACAACCGAACGACTTCTGATAAAACTCAAACCAAAGTGTAAAACACACACACACACATTTCCCGGCAGCAACACTTCCTGATCCACACACGAGGAGAGGGGGCAGCTTCCTTCGTCAAAACGACAAGGAAAATAGGTATGTTAATTCCCAGAGCTCGAATTTATAACAATTAAGTACAGACACAAACAGCAACAAAAACTCAACGCATTCTTCAATAACACTGTGGCCTAGTAACAAATATATATACATACCTGTCAACACATACGGTTTACCCGTATTCTTGAACAAGGAAATTAAGTAAAAAAATGTTTTATTTTTTGTGTTACTCCCCTTGTGACGAGACTTTGTGGGATGAACGTTGCGATGTATAAGGGCATGGGGTGGATCAATAAGGTCTGAATTTGTCTGTAATAATGTATAGCACTGATTAGGGGTTGACAGGTACAGTATGTATTTGTAACAACTAGCTGTACTACCCGGCTTCGCCTGGCCGCCTTTGTCTCCCCAGTGGCGATGTTCACACACCACAGCAGTTACTCGTTTGAGGCTGAGTCGACCTAGGGGAGGCCCAGGACCGGCTAAAATAATCGTCGCCGGCCGTGGCCGTGAGCGGGAATCGAACTCGGATCGCCGGGTTCGTAGTGTAGCGCGCTACCCGCTACACTACAATGCGTTACGTTTCCACGTGCGCGGGTCACATGACAGATGTGACGTCACAGCGCACTGGTTGTGCAAAATAAATGCATTATTGAGCTCCCTCCTCCCTAAAAAAAGAACAAAAGTGTATTTTTAAAAATTTTGCATGATGATGTACAGTCTGGAAAGTACCCACATGGCAAATTTGCAGTTTGTTGCATGTCGGGAAGTACGGGAAGTACGCTAAACATTTTGAACAGACACGCATAATCACAACTTTGCCTTTTATATATATGGAGAAGATAAGGCGACGTTTTAGGCAATGGTCCTGATCGGGAGTTGTATGCAGTCATCGGTGACCATGCTGCACTTGAGAACCTGTTTAATCATAGGCAGTCCAAACAGTGCCTTGGAATGTCTGGCCCAAATGGCTTCTAACACAACGTGGCGGCCCTCACACTAATGAGGTATTATTGGCGAAATTGCCCCCCTCCAACCTCTGAAAATTAGTGAAGAACACTGCCCTAAGGTGTCCGATTGAGACATGGTCATTATGTGCCGTGCAATTCGTCTTTTCCCACAGCTTAGCACGACAATATCCTCGCGTCCACCTCGCTATATCATCACGGTGGCTAGGAGATGTTAACTACCTCGCCTGGTGTACAGGAGGTCGTGGGTTCGATCACGACCCTGACGCCTGCTGCTGTATATTTCGAGTTTGCGTGTCTCTCTCATCATCACGGTGGCTAGGAGATGTTAACCACATCGCCTGGTGTACAGGAGGTCGTGGATTCGATCTCGACCCTGACGCCTGCTGCTGTATATTTGGAGTTTGCGTCTCTCTCATCATCACGGTGGCTAGGAGATGTTAACTACCTCGCCTGGTGTACAGGAGGTCGTGGATTCGATCTCGACCCTGACGCCTGCTGCTGTATATTTGGAGTTTGCGTCTCTCTCATCATCACGGTGGCTAGGAGATGTTAACTACCTCGCCTGGTGTACAGGAGGTAGTGGGTTCGATCCCGACCCTGATGCCTGTTGTATATTTGAAGTTTGTGTGTCCCTCTCTCATCATCATCACGGTGGCTTGGAGATGTTAACCACATCGCCTGGTGTACAGGAGGTCGTGGGTTAGATCACGACCCTGACGCCTGCTTCTGTATATTTGGAGTTTGCGTGTCTCTCTCGCTCTCTCATCATCACGGTGGCTAGGAGATGTTAACTACCTCGCCTGGTGATCACAGCTTGACACACATCGCTATACCACACACACAACAACAACAACAATGAGTAATCCAGTACATGTGCACAGTGCGTGGTACAAACACAGTCACTTAAACGCTGCACGACGGAAGGTGACTTCACTTTTGCACAACGAGGCATGCGTCTCAAGGTAAATACAAGTTGTACTTACAAAGACCCCCTCCTCCGTGTAGCTTTAATGTCATTAAATTGGACAAGTGCCGTCAGCAACCACCCACGGCCCCCTTTGTCTCTCTCGCGGCGTTGTTTACACAACCGCACCAGGCCACATTTTAGGCCGAGTCGACCTAGGCGTGTGGGCGGTGCCAAGGACCGCTTCTGATAATTCATCGCCGTCATTGGCGGCTCTGAGCGAGATAATCGAACTCGAGGTCCCCGGGTTCCAAGCGCAGCGCGCTAACCGCTGCGCCACCGCTCCCCACACCCACACACATGTGCAGTACACAGTACAAGGCAAAGGCCTATTGATCTAAGCGCCTTCGGCTTCACCCCGACACCATTTCGTCCTGTACACGACGAACGTTCTCTTCTAAGTAGAACTCTTTAGTCACTTGTCTTTATGGTAAAGTTCGTAACTGCTCGTGATTACAAGCACACACGCACGCACACGCACGCACGTGTCTTCCCGTGTCTGCCCTCACGTGTTATGCCGTCTCCTGCTGCCACGTCCAAATGCGCAGTCGTCGTCGTCGCCTTCAACGAGACAAAGATGGCACTGAACGCTGCTGCTGCTGCTGTTGTGGCTTTTATTTTTAATGATTCTCTTGTCGGGGCGATTTTTTTTGTTATCGCTACAGCCACTGCCGTCGACTAGGGGGTGGGCGGGGGTGTCTAAGTCCAACCAGCTGCGATGCGATGGGTGTTACCGGATGTGTCGCGTGTGTCTTGGTCGGTGGCGATGGTGGTGGCGGCGGTGGTGGCTTTTATTTTCGAGATTTTTCAATAAAAAAAATCGCCTCCGGGTCAGTCCCAGGATCTGGCATTTGTGTGAGAGTGTGTGTGTGTGTGAGTGTGTCTGTGTGTGAGAGTGTTTCTGTGTGTGTGTGAGTGTGTCTGTGTGTGTGTGAGTGAGAATGTGTGTGTTTGTGTGTGAGAGTGTTTGTGTGTGTGAGAGTGTGTCTGTGAGAGTGTTTGTGTGTGTGAGAGTGTGTGAGTGTGTCTGTGTGTGTGTGAGAGTGTGTCTGTGTGTGTGAGAGTGTGTGAGTGTGTCTGTGTGTGTTTGTGTGAGTGAGAATGTGTGAGTGTGTTTGTGTGTGTGAGAGTGTGTGAGTGTGTGTTTGAGTGTGAGTGTGTCTGTGTGTTTGTGTGTGTGAGAGTGTGTGTGAGAGTGTGTCTCTGTGTGTGAGGGTGTGTCTGTGTGTGTGAGAGTGTGTCTGTGTGTGTGTTTGTGTGTGAGTGAGAATGTGTGTGATTGAGAGTGTGTGAGTGTGTTTGTGTGTGTGAGAGTGTGTCTGTGTTTGTGTGTGTGAGTGTGTGTCTGTGTGTGTGTCTGTGTGTGTGTTTGTGTGAGTGAGAATGTGTGTGTTTGTGTTTATGAGAGTGTGTCTGTGTGTGTGTGAGAGTGTGTCTGTGTGTGTGTGAGTGTGTGTCTGTGTGTGTGTCTCTGTGTGGGGAGCGGTAATGTAGTGGTTAGCGCTACGCTGCGCCACGAACAGAGTTCAATTCCCGCTCACGGCCAACACCATTGACGATTATCTGAACCGGTCCTGGGCCTCCCCTAGGTCGACTCAGCCTCAAATGAGTACCTGTTGCGGTGTGTAAACATCGCCACTGGGGATACAAAGGCGGTCGGGCGTGGTACTGGCCAGCCACCCCCTCGTGTGCCGTTCCACTTTTCACAGGCGTTCGCTAACAGAACTTGCCCCTACAGTCTGTTAAGGCGATTTGGGGAATCTTAATTATCTTGATCTCTGGCGGCAAATGAAAATGTAGTGAACGTGCTAACTTCTGTGCCACTGGCTTGGCATCTGTAAACAGGATGAATGTGAGCAGCAATGCGCAGGAAACCACGTTGACTTTTTCGTTGTATTGTTCGTGTGGACAGGACAGAGCCATCTCCTGACATCATCCGTCAGCCACTGCATGCAATGTGTTGTTTTTTTTTGTCATAATTTTTGTTGGAAATGTTGTTATCATTTTTGCGTTGATAATAATCAAATATGCAGCCAAGCTCACTTGTGTCTACGGGACCGTCCATAAATGACGTCACGCGATTTAGGACGATTTTTTACCCCCCCCCCACCCCCTTCGTCACACGGCGTCACAAAAAGTCAGACCCCCCCTCAAATATGACGTCACAAAGCTCTGCCCCCCCCCACTAAAAAAATGCTTCAAATCGCTTTAAACTATTGTCATTGTAGTACGTATTTAATGTGGCGCTGCACTCTGATGTTTTAGGAGAAAACATTTATTAAAAAGTCTATTTAATTAAGTAGAACGTGTTGTCTATTTTTATTTAAAGTTGCGCATTTTGATGTGACGTCACATTTCTCACCCCCCCCCCCCTCGTCACACATCGTCACAAATGTCTGACCCCCCCCCCCAAGGTGCGTGACGTCATTTATGGACGGCCCTTAAACAAAAACCGGGACGTATCATGGTACAGCAATACGGATGGATATCTGACAATATCTAAACTTGTGAATTCATTGTCTATTAAATTTCGATTTAAAGCTTTCGTGACTGCAGGGATTCATCTTCTTGGTTCTTTCGGTAAAGTCACGTAGAAGGGAAAAAATTAAATACAAATAAAACATAATTAAATAATTATCACGACGTTTCGGCCACAACGCAAGCAGCCGTCCTCAGGTGAAGACCAGGTCTGTCGGGGAGACAGAGTCTGAATGGCAGACCTGGTCTTCACCTGAGGACGGCTGCTTGCGTTGTGGCCGAAACGCCGTTAGAATTATTTTATTATGTTTTATTTGTATTATTTTATTATTTCCCTTCTACGTGACTTTACCGAAAGAACCAAGAAGAGCATTGCCTGTTGTTGCGCATCTGACAACAACAATAAAACCTGGGACTTTTAATGCTCCAGAAAGCCTCGGAAGACTTCCCGACACCGATATCTCAATAGAGGGCGATTCCGGTAAAGCCGGGAGATGGGGCTCGCCCACGCGAGGTTCGTGAATCCGCAGGGATTCCACGGAGAGCACGATTTCCTTTTTGAATTCAATTGTTATGATATCGGATGTTTTGCACTGTTGGGCCCAAGTTTTAGATTAGTTTTGTATTTTCTAACTTCAATGTAGGCACGTTTTTATTACTTTCTTTGTTTATGCAATGGATTAAATAATTTGACTGTAATACATATACTGTAATTGTAATACTGTGATTTTAAATATGGACTAAGTCGGTGGTTCTTAACCTGAGATGCCCTTTCTGGGGGTGCGGTTAGAAGGTGAATAATCGGAAACACAAGTTAAGCGCGGGCATGGAAGTGCAACTAATTTGTTTAATCAAACCCCGATGTATTAACATTACAAAGATTTTAACTATTGAGAACCCAAGGGGTGCAAGGCTGCAGTGAAAGTTAAAGACCACAGAGCGAAGTGGAAGGAACCGTTGCAGGACGCGACGCTGCCCCACCCCCAGCATCCCCCCCTCCCCCACCTGGGTGCCCCCCCCACCTCCCCCACCTGCGTGCCCCCCCCCACCTGAGTGCCCCCCCACCTCCCCCACCTGCGTGCCCCCTCCCCCACCTCCCCCCACCTCCCCCACCTTCCCCACCTGGACGCCCCCCCCACCTCCCCCCACCTAAGTGCCCCCCCACCTCCCCCCAGTTGAGTGCCCCCCCCACCTCCCCCCACCTGGACGCTCCCCTCCACCTCCCCCCACCTGGATGCCCCCCCCACCTCCCCCACCTGGGTGCCCCCCCCCACCTGGGTGCCCCCCACCTGGGTGCCCCCCCCCCACCTGAGTGCCCCCCCACCTCCCCCACCTGCATGCCCCCTACCTTCGCACGTGACCCCCCCTACCTCCCACCTGTCCACACCCTCCCCGCTCTCTCAATGTCCCCCCCACCCCCCCCCCCCCCCAATGCAGTTTACGGTAAGTCCTCGCTTAACGCGTGGCGTGCAAACTATCACGCGTTTTCGCTATAACGCTGTGGTTCTTCCATTCGAGAATACGTTTTCGCACACGCGCGCCGTTAGAACGCGGAACGCATCTTCCAAGGTGTCTGATGAAGAAGAAATGTCTCCTGGGTCCGCAAGTGGTTGTTGACAATAAATGGCAAAACGTATCCCATGGTATCGCTTTTCACTCCGAGCTATGAATGCTGTGATACGTGCATTGTCTTTGTCCTGTTCGCCTTTCGGCGTTCTCTGGTCTGCCACTTGTGGTGAGACTAGGCCATGAAGAAGGCTGTCTCTGGTGTAGGCCAATCAGTTTCAAAGACAGTGCATATATTATAATTATCAGAGCATGTTTGTTTGCATGTTCACCACAAGTACTGTGTGTGGTTAATGCAGACTTCATTCCTTGCAAGAGGCATCTATTTGGTGTTTGAACATCTTCACAGTTGTATTGCCAGAAAGGGTACAACCCTATTTTTATTGTCATGCTTGGATACTGGAAAAAAGTTCCCACCACCAATAACGTAGTTATTATATCTGCCGCATTTTGTTTCCTGGGAAAATATGAAATGACGCGTACAATAATGAGTGTTAAAAAATCAATAGCTATTACGAAGTCACTGGGTGCCTTGCGAAACGTATTCCGTTACGTTGGGTGAACTGCAGCCGAACAACTGAAGTAAAATAAAATTGACGTTTAAACTTCATTTGACTGCGTGCGCTGCTTCCTTGACTTGAATCAAGGCTGCGAAAACCCTCAAATGTGACTCCAGTCATCCTGATTCTTACCGGAGGGTAGAGCAAAGCGCAAAAATAAACATTAAAACACGACAAATACTATTACAGAGCTGTGGGGAAACGATACCGGGATGATCTTCACATGGTGAAACATTTATGTTGGTTCGTATCGTGAGACGTGATCTCACGGCAACTCAGCAAATGTGCTACGACAGCCTGCATATAGTTGTTGAGTGTTGGCTACATGAGAATAAACAAACACACATAGTCACTGCCCACTCATCTCATTGTTGCGTGTGATGGCAAAATGTGGCTACTCACCACCTCTTCCAAGTCCGCCAGAGTGGGGCCCTTCCAAAAGCTCCCTCCAGAGGAAGAAGCCCTTTCCATCAACGGTGGCCTTTATTGAGCAAGCAATTGCAGGGCTGCTCCTTTACCTCGAGGCTTGCCTCTCCTGGGTAAATAAAATTGGCACTGTTAATTGGCGTGGTGTGGAAATACGCGCGTGTCACACACACACACGCGCGCGCGCGCCGTCGGCACGTGCACGCGCGGCGGCGCGCGTTCATGTCACGGCCATCCCCGCCCGTGACATTTTCAAAGGGGCCCAACCACCATCCCCCCTATTTGGAATGGACGGGTGTGCCGCGGTGGGCCCCTTTCTGGAATTTTAATAGCGGCCTCTATTTGCAGAAAATAGCCTCGGTAGTGTGGGGGGCAGGGGGGGTGCAACGGAGGCTACGCTGCCCGGCGAACGGGGCAAGCGGACCGTGGGGTTGGGAGTTCAAATGCGAGGGCTTCTGGCTGCGCTGAGGTTCACAGGCGCTAGTAGCTCAAGTCGTGCTGCTGGGCTACGTTGCAGGCAAGCGAGGAAGAGGGCGGTGCTGCAAAATCCACTGCTACGCGTCTGGGACCTTAACACAGCACTTAATTTGTGCCGAGATATTTTTGGAATGCCGCTTCCACCTAGCGTAATGTTGTCCTCGTTGTGCCATATATTCGGATACAATTTCTGATATGATTATAGGCATACGGGGTACATTCATAGCATTATGTATACGTCTCCCTTATGATCTAGTGGTAGTGCCTTACGCCG